TGATTGACTCAAAAAAATGATTCAGAATTGCAAGGTTTTGTAGATGCCAATTGGGCAAGCAATACATTAGATCGTAAAATCCTTTACTGGATATGTATTTAAGCTTTGTAGCTCTACAATATCTTGGCAAAGTACAAGGCAAACTACGAGGCGGAATATACGGCCCTCTCAGAGGCTGTTTTTCTTAGAGGTTTGCTAAGTGACTTAATTGAAAAAACTGAATATATTACTTTATTTAATGACAATCAATATCAGAAAATCCAATTTATCATAAAAGAAGTAAGCATATTGATGTATGATGTCATTTTTTTGAAAGACCTAATATCTGACACAATAATTAATGTAAAATATATGCCTACTGATGTTATTCCAGCTACCGTGTTGACTGGTAAAGGTCTAATTGCTAAAAATATTGCATAGATTATTGAAACTGTTTGGTATAGGTAACCTATAAATTTTGTTTATAAATGGGGTATATTCATAAATGGGGGTGTTAAAATATTGATATTAACTAAAAAATTTTAAATATTAGCACAATATATCATTTAGAGGAAGTTAAGATTTGTACAATGTAAACTGTCAATTATTGTATTCACTTTTAGAACAAAATAAAGTGAATCTTAACTAACTGGTTTCTCAACCGTTTTAACATTTTCTACTTGGATTTTCAGTTAAAAATTGCCACCCATAAACAGCATTATAAGGGAGTGCAATATAATTCAAAATAATAGCAACATAGATATCTTTAACACCAACACCAAAGCCATTAAATTTAGCTTTCTACCTGCTTCGACCTCTATATCATAGTGTGTATGTCTAGTATAGATACGTGAATGTTTTATAATTCCTACTTTTTTTATTCTCTAAAATACGTTTGTTCTAAAATATAGATAAATAGTTTACTATTTATGTTGGGAACAAGCCACAATTCACTTTAAAATAAGTTTATTTAATATTTCGAATTACACTTCGAAAATCGTTAAAATCATTATTAAATGTTGAAGTTGTATGTAAAATTAATAAAACATTAATCGAAGCCACGAGATATGTTATTATATAATGTTTAAATATTTACTTAAAAATGTAATTTATGTTAAGCAATTTAATTTTGGTTTAAAGAAATATTGAAAAACATGCAACAAAGCCAAATATCAGCTGTTACTATCTTAGTATCAAAGAGTGTGCGCATGCGTCTATCCATTTTCATTACGGAACACTACACAGATGGTATTAGGGTAGGGGTAGTGTTCCGAAACGAGGTTGAGAACGATGAGCTGAAATCAGCTGTGCGTACAGCGTTGCTCGTCTTTCAATATTTCTTTAAACTTAAAGATTAAAAACTAAACTAAAACTAAAATTACATTTTTAAGCAAATATTATATAATAGTATATCTCGATGGCTTCCATTATTGTTTTATTCATTTTACATACAACTTTAACATTAATTAATGATTTTAATGTTTGTTGAATATATTTACGTACATGCTATCAAAAACGTGACCTTGATCTCATATACCTAGTATAGTATTATGATAAGAATATTGTTTTGAAGCTATTTTCTTGTGGCATATGAATGTAATTTACTATTTTTGTTGGGAATAAGCCATAATTGTACTTTAAAATAAGTTTATTTCTACTTAGGAAACCATATTTTAAGAACGATGTTCGAAGTGGAAATCAAAACATCAAATAAACTTATTTTAAAGTAAAATTGTATATACTTTACAACAAATTCATTTTACAGAATAAAAACAAGTAGAAATTTTAGATACACATATTTCGAAAAATATATATAGGTACAGATTCATACATATATGTGTATAGGTATATACATATACACATACATAAAGACATCCATATATCTATGCCAGACACACACACTATTATATAGAGGTCGAAGATGGTTTAGATAGCTAGATTTATAATGGCTGTGGTGTTGGTGTTGAAGATATCTATCTTGCTATTTTTTATAATTATGCATCTTCATGCTGTTTATGGGCGAGCAAACTGTCTCACAAATACAAAAGAGCCCTCTATGGCTTAACCTCAAGCCAATCTTAGATATAATACCAAGAACATAATACAGTCAATGAACAATAAATAATCTTTAATTTTACTTTATTTACAATAACATATACAAACAGCATTACATACTTGCATTCTCCGTCTCTGTTCCAGTGTTACAAATTTAAAAGTTTCAAGCAGACTTCTGTAAAGGAGCGGTCTCACAAAACGTGAAGTGGGGTTCTCCATCGGCAAAGAGAAATAGAAAATACGTAATAGAAAAAGACAAAATATAAAGAAGAGAACCAACAGAACATAGAGTACCGTATTTTTTCTCAATATTTGTGGTTTACGAACCCAGTGATAGGGCAAAACTGTCTATTTATTGCTGGCGGATGCTATACCGTTGTTTATCGTTAAATCGATCCAGTTTAAAAAAATCTGAAGCTGCGGCGCCACATTACCAAACCTAGGGAGGCAGTTAGGAGAAGTACGGTTATTGCCGACATAATTTTACCATAGAGTGGTCCAACGAAGTTGTGTTGGAATTTTTATTAATTTACAAATTTCCCAAATTGATAAAATTTTTCAGAGAGGACAAAAAGGATGATAGAAACAGCAGAGATGAAAACACTTAATGAAAAAAAATTAATGGTAAGACACTATGGGACAGAACTAGAAGTAAAGATATACTACATAGGTGCAAGGTGGAGAACATAAAAAATTGGGTAAAAAATAGAAGAGTATACTTTAACGATCATATAAGCCGAATGACAACAAATAGAGTAGTAAAGACGACAAGAGATGGTTCTCCAATAGGAAGACGATCAGTAGAAAGACCACGAAAACGATGGAATGACAACTTACTGGAGGCACAGTGAAAAACAGACAGTCATGTCTATATATAAAAAAGAAAAAGAATCAAATTTTTACCACTAACACTGATATAGTTCTGAAGCTATTTTCTTGTGGCATTTTAAATTAATTACTATTTAACTGGGAATAAGCCACAATTAAAGGTAAAAATACGTTTATTGACGTTTCAATTTCCACTTCGGAAATCTAAATTTTTTTATTATGTGATTTCCGAAGTGGAAATTGAAACGTCAATAAACGTATTTTTACCTTTAATTGTGGCTTATTCCCAGTTAAATAGTAATTAATACCAACACTGATGGCGTACAACAGATTTAATCCTCGATAACGATAATCGGAATGGTCCTACTACTGGACTACTGGAATGGACTACTGTTTAGGATATGTCGATTGCATTTACCAAAAAGTAAATATTTACTAATTTCACAGTAACGTGGGTGCCAACCGTTGTCTCTTTTCTGATCGCTAATATCAATTTTTTGTTTCTCTTTGCCGAAGCGAAGAGCATCATTCCACGAGCTATCTGATTCCGGCTTAAGACACGCCTGTTATGATATGAATCACAACTGCACAACCTAACGTAAGAGAATCTAGGGAGACCTTAGCTAATGTGAATTTTCAACTGAAATTCCAAGTAGAAAACAGTCGCAGAACACTTGAATCAGAACATAGTATCTCGCAGGACACTTGATTTCAAGGATCTTGAGTAACTCTTCGCAATTTTCTTTACAACTGTTGTGAAATTGTGCGTCTAAGTAATATTTTTTACATTTTTCTAATAAAAGAATAAATAAAATGATTGCATAAAAATCGGATTTAAGAATCATAAATTTGATATTTTACAAAAAAAATGAGAGGTAAAAAAACTATCTTTTAGACGCGACAACGGTGTAAATTTGAGAACATGTGTGTTAGCATGCGTATTTGCCAAACCTATCAGCCAAGTTATTCCCGTTGGAATATATTAGTATTAATCGCGTCCAATATCCAAAACAAAGAAATATATTACAATTTGTATTATCACTAACAACTGTTACACTGTCTAGATATCAACGAATTGTACTATAACCGCTTGCTGTGATTAGAATCTAAGAATGTTTCTGGGTGAAAACTTACAATTCCTCACTTATTTTAAATCGCGCAACACTGCACGACTTGGTGTCTTGTAAAAATTTTACTATTTGGATAAGAAGCCAATATCAGACTGTCCTTGAAAAATTTTCAATAATTAATAAAAAATTACTTAGAACTGACCAATTTCTGGAAATATCTGACCATTGGAGATTAATTTGTGATCTTTCAGGTGGTATAATAATATTTCAGAAATACTAGCTGTAACATAGTGAACTAGGAAAACGCGGGAATCTACTGTTCTCCTAGTATTTTTAAAATGTTTATTGCGGCAAGGTACTGCAATCCTGATATTTTTAAAATTTTTAATGGACTGCGCTTGCGTGCTAAGGTGATTGCAACTTTATTAATTATTTTCACCCCTAAAACAACCTGACCAAACTCTCAATATATCTGACCATTTGTCAGCGTTTTAATCTCTATCGAATGCAGTCGTTTTTTTTATAGATTTCGTTCAATGAGGTGCCAACATCTTTTTTTGTCCTTGAAAATTTTCAACCCTTAATAAAAAATTAACCAGACCTGACCAAAAGCTGAAACCAACTGACCATTTGTGACCAAAACGTGACCATTCAGACGGTATAATTATTTTTACGAAATTCGATCAATGAGGTGCCAACATCCCATAGCTTTGTTTAGGCAGTTTGATTGATGACCTGTAAAAATGTGATATTATCGCTAAATATTTTAACACAGGGTCAAAGTCAAATCAGTTTAAATTCAACCATATGTTTGACTGACGATTTTTATTAAATAGAATAATATCAAACTGAAAACAAGGAAAACAAAAACAAATAACCGCTTTTAACAAACATAAATATACAAGGGAACACGTTTAAATATTGAAAAACATGTTATTAAAAAAGATTTTTGTGGAAAGTTTTATTAATATTTCGACACAAGATCTTACGCGTGTTCCATCGTTTCCCACACTTCGAAGGCAGAAAATTTGAATATGGTTAATAAATTAAAACTAAAAGAATATTTACCTGGTTAGGAAGGACGTGCCAACTTCTGCGCTTTCCTTGTCGTTGCAAAGCGCTAAAATCACCTTGGTCGGAAAATTGGTTCGGAGATATACCTCTGATGAGCTGTCCAGTGTCTTCAAATACACCAGGAATTAATCGAAGTCTGTTGGCAGGACATATTCCCTGAAACAAAATATCTATTTAATATACGATTATTTCTGATTCAAAACTTTAAATATACTTATTAGGTCTGTCAATTGGTAGTTAATTGAGATTTGAATTTTATGTAAAACTTAGACTGCTTTTTGTACAAATAACTGTGATTTATATTAAATTCACACCTACCCAGAATATTTTACCTGAAGGTATGAAACCTTCCTAACATTTTTGTACAGCTGTTTCTAGAGCTCATTATTAAATGAAGTGCTAATCTATGTACTAGATTTAATGATCTGGGACTACCACAGGGGTCAGTCTTGAGTAATTTATTTGTTATTTAATATGTATACGACGGATTTGCATAAAGTTCCCACAGTTTTTAGATTTCAAATAATACAATAGGCTGACGTTTTTCTTCTATATTCACAGACAAAATATATTATACATATGTTCAAACTTTAGTGTTAATATACAGTTACAACAAAACGAACTTAAAATTGCTCCATACAAATATACTGTCTGCATTTTCATTTAGTACAATATTCCAAAAAATAGGGAAGTTAAAATTGTCTTAAACCAATTTCAAAAACGGAATGGGGGGGCTGATGTTGAAACGTCACTACTTTTCAATCGGTTATGTATTAGACCAATAATTTATTATGTATTGTACATAGTTCAGCTTCTAAACATATTCTAAACAGAGTAGACGTTGTACAACACTTAAGACTGGGCATTTGTTTGGGAGCTATACAGTCAACTCCTGTCACTATAAGGAGGTTAAGTGCTGTGCATAGGGCTTCGACCAGCCCAATCGAAATTTCCTCAGCGTTTCTTATAATAGGTGGGTTTTGGGTAATCAATTTGGTGGGGTTAGTGGAAAGGTCCAAGCAAAAGGACGAGTGGGAAGCATATCCCTGTGGAGGGGGCTGAAAGTGTATAGGAGACCATATGTGGGATCCCAAGCAAGATCCCCGTCTAGGCTTAGTTTATTTTTCTTTGGTGTGTTTCTGTCTGTCCTATATTAGGTTTTTTCACCTCTTCAAGACGTGGCTTGTTTTGTTGGATGTCGGCTGTTTGTCTTGTTATGTCTCACTGGTGGTTTGCATCGATGGATGTTGTTGTTGAGGAGGAGGTAGATGTCCAGGGTGGTCGGAGGTGAAAGGGTTTGAGCTAAAACGGTCCTTTTCAGAAATCGTTAATAAATTAATTGCCTTGGCTTGGAAAATTCACCCTTTTTATACATGTTTAGTATTAATATATTTCTGGCATAAGTCAATGTGAGTAATGAAACCAAATATCTTCGCTTTTGCATCGACAAGAGTTTTATTTGTTCCTTAAGTTGCTTCTTTAATATATTTAGTTTTTCGAAGATATCGGCTAAATAACTCACAAATGCTTTACCATCGATTGTTAACAGATACTTCATTTCAGAATTGTCGCTTAAAAAATCACTGAGAGTATTAAACAGTTTCAGAAATATTTTCAAAATGAAGTAAAGGTCTGACAAGGTCTTCATTTTGTTCTTCACAAAATAGCTTGAAGAGACGTTCACATTTGGCATTAGAGCTTTAATAGAATTAATATTGTTTTTAGCTACCAAGTTTTTCCTATGAATAACAATGAGCAAGAGTTACTTCTGCCAACAAATTAAAGTACCATCTGAATGGAAAACCGCTCACCAAGTGTCCATCTTTAAAAATGGTAATCGAAAAGATCCTAATTGCTACTTTCCTACCTACTTTCGGGAGGTTGTTTCGAAAGATAATAAATGGAGAAATATAAGATGATGTAGGACATTTAATTAGCAAAGACCAACGTGGCTTACAATTAATAGAACAAAGAATAGCGGTTGGCACCGAAGTACATCTAGTCTTCATCGGCTTAGAAAAGTCGTATTATGCAGTTCAAAAATTGTGGCAAGCTTTACAACAACTCGACATTAGTCAATACCTTTTAGGAATAATCACAGAAGTATACAGGGATAACACTACCACAGAATAATAAACAATCAGAAGGGCCACTCTCAGATGCCGCCTTTGAAGTTTTTCAGCACGCGCGCCATGTTTTAGGAGGACACAGACATATGATTTGTGTGGTTATGTAATTGTTTATATTTATGTTTAATTATATTATATTTATGTTATTATATTTAAAACTGTTAATATAATTGTATAGTATGTCTATAAGTCGTAATGTATGCCGTAAGTCAAATAAACCTGTTTTTTTTCCATGCACACCACATAAACAACACTGGTTCCCTTTAAAACCCTCGTAAAACATGGCGGAACGTCTGCGCGAAGGAGATGCGCGTACTTAATTTTCCGTGGAGAGTGGGCATTCTGTTTGTTTATTATTCTGTGACACTACTTGCCTAAAAATCGGAAATAGACTATCAGCCAATAAAAGTAACTAAAGGACTAAGACAAAGATGCAGTATGTCACCCTTTAATTTATATATTGAGGCAGCTCTCCAAAATTGGAAAAACCACTATCAGGGAATGGGAATCCCAATAGGAAATGACGTACTGTTCTCCGTGAACTTTGCGGATGACCAAGTTTTCCTAGCTCAAGATTCTTATGATCTAGAATTTATGATAAAGCAACTATATAGAAAATATGTAAAATGGGGGTTACAAGAAAGCATGAAGAAAACAGAATATTTAGTTACCAATTCAGATGCAAGGTTTGAAGTGTTAATTGACAAGGACGTGGAAATCAAACAAGTGGAAAAATTTAAATATTTAGGAGCACTCATTGCACAAATTAAACACCGAATTAATCAGGAACGTAAAATTATAGGATGTCTGAACTCCTTATGATGGGATCGCAACATTTCCAAAAGGAACAAAAAAAGAATAGGACAAACCATTGTTGAATTATTTCTTTGTTGTTGCTCTGAAGTATGGATAATTAATGCAGACCTGAAGAGAAAATTGTTGGTTGAAATGGATTATTTGAAAAGTGCTAGAACATCAAGGCTAGAAAGGAAGACCAACAAATCTATAAGAATTAACATAAATGCTACAGAAACAGTCATTGACAAAATAGAAAGAGGAGATTTAAAATGGTTTGGATACCTATTGAGAATGCCTGACGAACGTTGGCCCCAAAAACTTCACAGACGGAAGCCCCCTGGAAGAAGAAAAAGAGGTAGATCTCGACGCTCATATAATCAAGGAATTTGAAGAGCGATGGAATCGAAAGGTTTGGAGGAGGAGGATACCTTGGACAAGGATTGACGGAGAAGAACGGGAATACGACGATACCCGTCTCCAAGATGTATTGTATTTACAAGTTGGATCCTGTAATATATATATATATATATATATATATATATATATATATTAATCCTCCTATATATATATATATATATATATATATATATATATATATATATATATATATATATATATATATATATATATATATATAAGAATTATTTCTGCATTCGCATCTTCCATCAATTTTAAGCAGCCATTTTTCTTGTCCATCATATTAGCACAAGAGCACCATATGCAGCACAAGATGTTATATTTTTCATTGGTATATCATTGACATATTGACATCTAAGTAGTTTTTTACTTTATAATATATATCTTTGAAGACAATTCTTCTTCTTCTTCTTGATGTGCCTATCCGTTAAGAATGTTGGCGATCATCATGGTAAATGGCAACCTTTATTGGAGGCAATGGTGCTTTCTAATTTTTAAAAAAACTAAAACACGAATTTAAATAAAATTAGTCCAGTAGTCAGAGATTAATTACTATTTAACTGCGAATAAGCCACAATTAAAGATAAAAATACGTTTATTGACGTTTCAATTTCCGAAGTGGTTTCAATTTCCACTTCGGAAATTGAAACGTCAATAAACGTATTTTTATCTTTAATTGTGGCTTATTCCCAGTTAAATAGTAATTATTTTAAAATGCCACAAGAAAATAGCTTCGGAACAATAGTAGTCAGAGAGATGACCCCTGACAATCATACGAACAAGCTGAATTTTGGCGAGAATATTTATTTTGGGACCCCAAAAAAAATGCAAAAAAAGTTTACCACTTTTACCTCAGGGCTTCCACCTAAAACCCACCTTGAACGTAAAAACGTAAAAAAAAAGATTTGCCAAGAAAGCCGTAGAAAAATTTTAAACAGAAATGTTTATTACTACTTTTTGTCTAGAATGAACCATTCTCTCAGAAACAACGCTTAAAGCGACTAAAACGTACCTCTTCGTCCCATTGTGACTACGATTAACTCTCCTACCTACAAACTCGCAAAGTACTTGTCGAATCAGTTTAAGACCTATACTGGTCGTATCAGTTTCGGTGGTCAGTTTCGATGTATCATCCCTATTTACCAATATCCCCATACATGACTCTCTAGTTGTTCTGCGAGATCACTTGACCAATGATAACAAGTCTTTGGTTTTGGCAGATCTTGCGGAAAAATGCCTCCTTTCAACATATTTTTCTTTTAGAGGCAATTTCTACAAACAAATATCTGGAACACCAATAGGTTCTCCCCTTTCCCCTGTCATTGCTGACATTTTCATGGAAGCCTTTGAGTCTTTAGCCCTAGAATCTTACCCCTTAAAACCAAAAGTCTGGTTCCGCTACGTTGATGATACATTTATCATCTGGCCCCATGGTCAACATACCCTTTCTCCCTTCCTAGATCATCTTAACTCACAACATCCGAGTATAAAATTCACAATGGAAGTAGAAAATAATCGGTCCCTTCCCTTTCTCGATGTGTTAGTCACCTCCAAGCCCAATGGCCGATTGGGTCACTCTGTTTATAGAAAAAAGACTCACACGAATCGTTACCTACATGCTTCATCACACCACCATCCTGTCCAAAAGAATTCTGTGATCAACTCTCTCATCCGTCGGGCCATTTCGATTTCTGAACCTGACAACCTTAGAGAAGAACTTGGCCATCTGCAAAAAACCCTTGTCGCCAACGGTTACTCCAAGTCCACAATTCAAAATATCACACACCGACATCTACATCCCCCTTTACACCCTAGGACGACAAATTCAGAATCTTCAGGTAATACTCCTGTGGCTTTTCTTCCGTATATTCGAAGTGTCACCGATAGGATTGGCAAAATTCTTCGCAAAGAAGGTATCAGGACTACTTTTCGACCACCCAAGAAAATCTCATAATATCTACCCTCTTCTAAGGACCCATTACCGCCCCTATCTTCCTGTGGTGTCTATTCTATTCCTTGTTCATGTGGACATGTTCAAATTTCCATCTTGATTTGTGGCATGAAATATGTACACTATGTAAAACATTTTACTTGCGGCAAAATACAAAAACTGCATAAGAAAGCTAAACACTTTACCTTTAAACGCATTTTGATTTTTGTCGATAGGACACTTAAATCAAAAGATATCGATAAGTTTTATCGTCGATCTGATACAAATTTTATTGAACATTGATTTCGCGCGCGCAACTGGCATTCAAAATCGACGGTTACTTCAAGCGTTGTTTGTGAGAGAACGGTTCATTCTACGTAAAAAGTGCTAATAAACATTTTTTTAATTATCTTGACTACATTTATTATTTAAAACATTTTTTTTCTACTGTGTGCAGATTCTTGGTAAATCGATTTTTTTTAGTTTTGTTAGGGTCTCAAAATTATTATTCTCGGAACAATTCAGCGGGTTCGTATGATTTTTATGTTATGTTTTTTTCATGTTCGTCTGTGACGACTGGAGTAAATATAAAAATTCTATTTAGAAATTGCAATTGAATAAGTTTTATGCAGATTCTAAACATAATATTAAGCCACTAGCATTGCTAATACAATATTTCACCACGGCAAGATTAAAGAAAAAAAGAAGAACTTCGCTGTATTGTCATTCAAAAAAGAGTGTCACAACTGTCAAAAATATGATTGATTAAAATGGACATCGAAAATTTCGAAAGTGAAACTACACCGAAAATTCCAAATTTACAGTTAGCCCAACAAAAGTTTGTTCTCTCTTTACCGGAGTACCAAAATGACGAAGCAAGAAAAAAAGAATTATACGAAGCTATCGTGGCCGAAGATATGGCCCCTTATTACGAAATCGTTTGTAGCGACTTAAAATGGAAACTGAATAAGAAAGTGCTAAAGCAAATGAAAGAACGTAACACACAAGTTTTAGTTTCAATGGATGAAGACATCGAAGCATCGTTGAAAGGGTTAGTGGCCAAGGACTGTGCGGAACTGTATCTAAATAAAGCTAATTATCTGTGTAAGATTGGTGATAAAGAAAACGCAATTAAGGTACTCAGTCACGCTTATGATCAAAGCTTCTCGTTAAAAAATAAATTAGACAATGTGTTCTTTTGTATCCGCATCGGATTCTTTTTCATGGACTTCAAGTTGATCGAAAGTAATGTAGAAAAAGCCGAAAAATTAACCGAAGAAGATACCGACTGGCACAGCCGGAACTGTTTTAAAATATTTAAAGCCATTTACTCTCTAGTTGTCAGGAATTTTAAGTCCGCCTCTCAGCTCTTAGTGGACGCCATTTCGACTTTTGTATGCACCGAAATAATCACTTACGAGCAGTTCATAAAATATACTCTTATATCTTCAGTGCTAACCTTGAGCCGCAACGAAACAAAACAACGATTAATTCAAAACGCAGATATGCAACAGGCGCTGCAAGCCGATAATACATTTAGAGAGTACTTATATAGTTTATATAATTGCGATTATAAAGTTTTTTTCCAGCGGCTGGCCGATATAGAGGTTTTTATGAAACAAGACATGTTTCTTAATCCACACTATAAATCTTACGTTCGAGAAATGAAAATAAAAGCATACGATCAACTACTTTCCACTTACATATCAGTAAATCTGTCTTACATGAGCGAACAGTTCGGCGTCTGCGAGGACTACATAGAAAACGACCTTAGTAAATTCATTGCAGCAGGAAGACTGAGTTACAAAATAGATAAAGTTAGCGGAATTGTCGTAAATCAACGCAAAGACAGAAAAACTGAGGTATTTCAGGCAGTCATAAAACAAGGAGACATTCTTCTTAATCGTGTACATAAACTAGGTCGAGTTATCGAAATTTAAGAAAAAAAGCGAGTTGCTACGCTATAATGCATATTTATGTAAAAATGCCACAGATATACACTCATGGACAAAAATGGATATTTTCATTTTTTTTTGTTTTAATAAATTCTGTTCAATTAATTTATTTTAACAATGTCTAATGAACAACTTTTATGCGGAAAAAATTGCGAAAAAATAATGCTTAATGTTAGGTAAATAAGGTTATTTTACTCTTAAGCTCTAAGCTACTCTAAGCTTAATTGCTATTGTAAATTGCTTAAACCGAAACAAGTGCATGATCAGTAACGAGTATCCCCCTCTACCCCTTATTACCGCTTGCATCCTTCTCGGCATGCTTGCAAGTAAATTTTGGACATATTCTTGGGAAATTGCATTCCATTCATCCTGTGCAGCAAGCCGAAGCTGCTCTATCGTACTTGAACGAGATTTCTTTGTTGTATGCGGCGTTTTAGCAGATCCCACATGTGCTCTATTGGATTTAAATCCGGACTATATGGTGGCCAATCCAATCTTCGCATTTGGACCTCATCACGATGAGGTCCAAAGAGGTTACTCACTATGGCAGTGGCATGTCATATTCAATATAACCAACATGTGACAAAACATGATCTTGCAGGATGAACTTAAGAGTCACCAGTCATCCGTCCAACCACTCAATCAAGTAAATGTGTCCCTCCCAACTAATCCACCCCTAAGCATTATGCCACCACCTCCAAAACTAACGATCTGGACGAGATTGCTGGCGGCGAATCTTTCTCTAACTCTTCTATAGATGTGGTTTCGTTTGCCTGGCTTCCTTAATAGAATTCTGGACTCATCAGTGAAAAGAACATTTTCCAGTTGGTAATATTCCACTGAATACGCCTTCTTCTCCTTCTTCCTCTTTATAAGCAAGTCTGCTTGTTTATTGGCGGATTAACATTGGCGATACTTCTTCTGCCGATTTGTGACTTATCTCTTGCTATTTTCAGGACACATGTCTCCTCCATTCTGCTTATGTGGTTATTCCATTCGTTTTTCTATTTTGTGTCTATTCATTTATACGCTGTACGTTACATTTTCTTCTAATGTCTTCACTTCTCTATCAATCTCTCAGCGTATTTCCTGTAATTCTTCTTAGTACTCTCATCTCTACCGCTTCCAGTAGCATTTGCGTTGTGGCTGGGTCAGGTCTTGTTTCTGAGGTCTGATTGGTGTTACACTGGCTTTATAAATGCTTTATGTCATCTAGGTGTTAATATGGCTGTTTCGACTTAGTAGTGTTATTTTCTTTCGACTTAATAGTGTTATTAAGGCACCCTGCCAGTCTATTTGCTTTTTGTACTTGATCTCTCACTTGTTTGTCCAGATCTCTATAGCTTCTTCTACTACTTCTTGGAGATCTTTCGATATGTTTCGAGGTCTTGAGCCGGGCGGGTTGTTTTCTAGGGCAATTTTTTGAAGTCTATTCTCATCCATTCGTCTTACTTGATTATACCACATCGTCTTACGCTGCCTTCCCCATCTTACAATATCTTGAATTTTGCACTTCTCTCTAACGTTTGTATTTTTCACCCTGTGTCTTCTTGTTTTTGCCCACTATTGTTCTTAGGGTTTTCAATTCGGCAACCCTTAGCATCTACTAGGGTTGCCAAAAATCGAGTGATAACACCGTCACAAGTACGTGATGTCAGAGCGCTAACATCTGCTAACCTGGAGAACGACCACAACCTTGTTTTATGCAAGATGCTACTAGAACGTCCGCAACGAAACAAAAAAACTCCAAATGCTCATCTAAAATCACAATATAGACTCGCTATCAACAGAGAGTTCAAAACTCCTTTATGAGAACAGGATTACCAGCAAACTAAAAGAGATCGAGTTACAACCAGAATGGAAAGTAGAAGATACTTCAGGGAAAAATCAGGAAATGCTTCAACCTAGCAACAGAAGAAGCAATTTTAAAACGGAAAAGTAACACAAGGGCAATAAACCACACCAAACCGTGGTTTTGTAAGAGGTAAAAGAACTTTTTGAATCAAAATGTAAATGCTACCTGAGATATAAAAGCACACAATCTGAAGAAGCTCTCGCAGAACCCTTTTAAATACAACGATGAAAGTTTTCACGAAATTGGAAAGGCAAATTACTAATGCTGAAGAACAACAAGGTTTTACCAGAGGGCGGTCTATAACAGATGCAGTATTCATAAGAAAACAAATAAAAGAAAAAGCTATAGAGTTCGGCATGCCAGCGTATATTTACTTCATTGATCTGACAAAGACGTTTGACAGGGTTCGCCTGGGAGAATTCCAAAGATATTAAAACACCGACCAAAATAACAAAGATAGTCCATAACCTAAATAACAACAATGTAACCAAAGTTAGAGCAGTAGACCAATTCACTGAAAATATTCAAAGACCGAGAGGAATTAGACAAGGCGACAGTTTAACCCCTTTCTTATGATGCCATCAATTTATATTTTACATCTGGTTAGTTATTTGCTTACTATTATTGTTTTAGTTTTCTGAGATGAGATTGTCATATTAAATTATTTTGCGCTTATGTTAAATCTGTGGACCAATCTTTGCAGACTATCTTCAACTTTGGCTATCAATATTGCGTCGTCTGCGTAACAGAGTATTTTGATTTCTTTGTTTCCCATTCTGTATCCTCTTTTTTTTTTGGTTAACGCTTTTAACGATTTTATCCATGATTCAATTGAAAAGCATGGGACTCAATGAATCCCCTTGTCTTATTCTGCTGCCTATTTCTATAGGTTCTGTAAGTTGTCCATCTATTCTGACCTTCATTTTGTTGTTTTGGTAAATGTTTGCAATAGTTTTTATAATATTTAGGGGAACTTCTTTATTAGGGAACATCTTTGAGTTTTTCTCTGTCAAACGCTTTCTTTAGGTCAATCAGACACAGAAATGCTGGTCTTTTATACCCTAGTGATTTGTGACATCTACACGATGGCAAGAGAGATGGTACAGGAACTCGTTGTGGCTACAGAAAATGTAGGTTTAAATATAAATTTCTCGAAAACAAAAATCATGACCAATTTGGTGCCCAACAAGAACATCAGTATTGGTGGGAAAGAAATAGAACTCGTAGATAGATATAAATACCTGGGACATGAAATTATGATTGGCAGAGATAACCAGACTCATGAACTGAAGAGAAGAGTCGGCCTTGGGTGAGCAGCATTTGGAAAACTGAGAGAAACTTTTAAAAGTGAGCTGCCCACATGCCTAAAGAGAAAGGTATTTGATCAGTGCGTCCTCCCAGTCTTGACGTACGGAGCAGAAACACTTACCTTAACAAAAGCAGCAGCTACCAAACTGAGAGTCACGCAGAGAAGAATGGAGCGGTCCATGTTAGGAATAACTCTCCGAGACAAAATAACAAACAGAAGACATCAGGAGAAGAATCGGAGTGACCGATATCATCGAGAAGATAGCCAGACTAAAATGGAGATGGGCAGGACACATAGCCAGAATGACAGATGGACGATGGACAAAGAGGTTATTGGAATGGAGGCCAAGGGAAGACAAGAGAAGCGTCGGTCGACCACTTACAAGATGGACTGACGATTTAAGAAGACTCAATAAAAACTGGATAAGAGCGGCGCAATATAGACGGGGTTGGAAACATGAGGAAGAGGCCTATGTTGAGCAGTGGACTCTTGAGGCTGGATGATGATGATGACACGATCTTCCACTACTAAAACCCTGCTGCTCATCTGCTAAACTTATCCTCTGATTTATTAGCACTTGTAAAATTTAAGTTGTAAGTTTTAGCGTAGTATTTTACAAGTTTATACCTCTGTAGTTTTCTGGTTGCTTTTTATCTCCGTTTTTTTAATAGTTCGCCCGTTCTCCATTCTTCCGATATTTTATTGTGTTTTATAATTTTATTAATTAATGTTGTTAATTGTTCTGTCATTGCTGCTCCACAATATTTCATTAACTCGTTTGGTATCCCGTCTTTACCTACTGCTTTTCTGTTCTTCTGTTCTTCAGGCAGAAAACTGTCTTTAAATTGAAACATTGCATACCTAGCCGTTGGTGGATGTTATTCTAAGAATATTGAAATTTCTTCCTTCAATTCAATCAGTCTTTTTAAAACATAATCTTTTGATAGCCAACAAACATCGCAGTGTAAAAGAAGATTTTATGTTCACTTCCCATTTCTTTGCACACAGCAGAGAATACTCTTGCGTTGAGTGGGCGAGATTTTATGAAGTTTATAACTTTTACACACTAGTGACATTTTTTTCACAGTTAATGCCTCTTTGTGGATGCTAAAATGCACCCAAACACATTATGGTGCTACGGGTTTGATCTTCGGAAACAGCCCAGTACTAGCGCCTGTCATTGCCCGTGCTCCATCGCTACTTTGTCCCACACATTGAATTTTATTGGCGGTAATGTAGCTACGTTGACAAAGATTTACAGAAGAGTTACACAGAATAGAAATTCTTGTTGAATAGTATTTCCAAAATCGTATCTTACAAAATACAATAGGTTATCATTATCTGATATACTTGTAAAATGGCAATTCGAGGCGACTCGGTATTTTGCTTTCGTGGTCTGGTACCGGGTCGCGACCTAACATTTGGAAAACGCTACGTTAGACCAATGTGAAAATGACTTATGTATGAGTAGATCATACAAAGCTTGACGTGACATGGAAAGAAGTTACATCAGAGCAACCTTTAGAAGTCAATTATTTCGTCCTGCCTTTGCTTTGCTTACCGCAAAGGGGTATAACGAATTTTCAAATTTTAAGTCGATTGAGTAATTTAAAGAAAGTCGTACCGATAGTGACGAGGAAGAATGGAATTAAAGATGAGCCATCATTTTATAGTAGCAGCAGGTTGAAAAAATAGTTCCAGATGATCGTCTGGTACCTTAGAAGTATTTTATTTCAAACAAGAAAATAATTTGTAATACAAAATAAAACATAAATCTTGTAATTTTGATTAAATATCTCAACAATTAATTTGATGACTGGCTGTACCACGTATACTCGTAGTACAAAAAATAAGAAATAAATAGAAGTCAAATTTCGCTGATCTTTCCAAAGAATCCCAAACATTTGCTTTACTTATTTTTTACTTGAACGGTTTAACAAACAAGCAATCCCTACTCGTTTGTGCATTTCTCTGTTAGGTAAATACAGCTCAAATCTCACATAGGCTTGTGTTTCAGGAATTTTTATTGTCGGTTTGCAATATTTACACACATTCACATTTCTCAAATGTTAATAACCTGGTCAACTGTGTGTACATGTATTGTGTGGTTAAGACCAAGGTTGCCTTGATTTAAAAAGTATTTATTCCGTCGATATATGTATGACACTGATTTAATGATTTTGAAAGATTTTTAAAGATGCGCGTTAATAATAAATTATTGTATACTAATCTCTTAAAAACTATTTTAACACTATTTATTATCTTTAATAGGAATTAACCACAATTTAAATTATAAAAACGATTATACGTTTATACGTTTTAAAATACGTTTAATACGTTTCGATTTCCACTTCTGGTGTTTAATATACAACTTGATGTACCAACGGCTGTTAAAAAAATAATTGCTGCATTTGCAGATTATACAGCGATAATAATAATCGTTAGAAGCCCTAAAATATTACGAATTCCATTTAGCAGTAACTGAGGAGTTAACTTAAAGGCCCGTTTTCACGCTACGTCTTATTGTACGTTTTGTTGGATAGGACAAATCCTATACAATAAAACGTTACATGTAAACAGCAAAACGTACGTCTTATCAAATCGAAATGAAATCCAAACGGAAGGAAAAACATGGTGTGTATACACTGGACAAAACGTACGTTTATTCGTACGTTTTATATGACCAACAAAACGTACAATAAGACCTGGCGTGAAAACGGGCCTTAAGACTTCTGCATCCGTCGTTCGAATATTTTTTATATTCTTCTTATTTCAAGGGTTATATTGACATCTTAAACAAAACAAAGATATTTCCTATATTTTATATATGCATGTTTCATATGCATATGTAAGGGGTTTGCCAAATATTGCCGAATTCTACCAAAACTGTACTGACGAGTACCCAGAAATTATGAAATGCGAGGTAGAACATGCTAATAAATAATACTAAAATTAGAAAAGCTTGTGGTATAGATGACACACCAACTGAGTTGCTAAAACTAATAGAGAATGATAACATAAAAGTAGTAGTAAGACTTTTTAATCCAATATATAACACCGGAGTGATTACCGCAGATTGGCTCAAATCCATCTTTGTCGCAATACCTAAAAAACACAATGCGAGAAAATGTTCAGAATATCCTTATTCATTAACATAATGAGCCACACTCTTAAAATTTTCCTCAGAATACTTCACAACAGAATTAGACGTAAATGCAAAGAAGATCTTGAAAATGTCCAATTTGGTTTTAGAAATGCTATGGAAACCAGGAAGGCACATTTTGCGCTTAATATCCTATTACAAAAATGCCCGTGACCAAAGAAAAGATGTATTTGCATGTTTCGTGGACTTCGAAAAGGCATTCGACAAAGTACAGCATGTAAAATTAATGCAAACACTGAAAAATATCGGAATAGACGACAAGGATATTCGTGTCATTAAAAATTTGTACTGGAATCAAACTACTATCGTAAAAATTGGACATAACTACACCGATGAAATCTCTATATAACGAGGAGTCAGATAAGGTTGCATTTTGTCGCCAACATTGTTCAGTGTTTACTCAGACCAGTTATTTAAAAAGGCATTTGAGAGACAACCATATGGAATAAAAATCAACGGGGAACTACTTAATGTGATTAGATATGCAGACGATACAGTAATTCTACCAGATAATATTGAAGGTCTTCAAATTCTGCTTGATCGTATTCACGAGGTAGGAGAGGAAATGGGCATTAAAATAAACTTAAACAAAAACAAATATTTAGTGTTTAGTCATGACCCACATCTCGATGCAAAGCTTCAATCAAACGGTTGTGTGAACGGATAGTCACAAAATGTGTTAACGGACCAACAGATCCAGACATAGAAATAAAACGTAGAATAGCAATGACTAAAACTACTTTTATGAAAATGAAGTCATATCTGTGCAATAACCATCTCAGTTTAGAACTAAGGCAAAGAATGGTTAAGTGCTATGTTTGGTCCGCACTTTTGTATAGTGCAGAAGTGTGGACGCTAAAAGTAACGATCATGAACAATATAGAAGCATTGGAAATGTGGGTTCATAGACGAATGCTGAAGATACCTTGGACAACGAGGAAAACTAATGAAGAAGTACCAAGGAGCGTCAACAAAGATAGAGAACTGCTAAAGACTGTTAAACATCGAAAAATGTCTTATCTGGGACATATAGTAAGGGGATGTCGATATAAAATATTACAACTCCTTAAAGGCAAAATAGAGGGTCGTAGAGGTGTAGGAAGAAAACAAGTTTCTTGGTTAAAAATCATTCGTGAATGGACTCAGATACCAAATGCAGGACAACTATTCCATATTGCAGAAGATCGAGAAGCCTTCGCAATGGTGATCGCCAACGTTGGATAATTCTGATATGGCACGCGAAGAAGAAGATGTAATGATTTAGCGTGCGATAACAATTAAATGTAGTTTCAGGAGCAGTACGCTTAAAAATGAACTACAGTAAAACAAAAATACTGATCCGAGACCAGACAAATATAACAGTACAAAATCATACCATCATCAATGAGCCAATCGCGTCCACTGCTGGACATAGGCCTCCCTCAGTTCTTTCCAGTGTTCTCTACACTGGACCGCTTGTAGCCAGTTTCCCGCTACACGTTTTATATCATCGGTCCATCTAGTCGGTGGTCGTCCTCGGCTTCTTTTATAGTTTCTGGGCCTCCATTCCATAATACGTCTTGTCCACCGTCCATCTTTTGCCAGCATTGCACGTTCCATGGCTCGTTGTGTAACTCTGAGTTTATTCGCAGATTTTTGCGTGAGTGTTAAAGTCCCTGCTCCATAAGTTTGTACAAGTAAAACATATTGTTTATAAACCTTTCGCTTGAGACACATGGGAATTGAACTTTTTAGAATATGGCTTAATTTGCCAAATGCTGCAGAAGTTAGGCCTATTCGCCTCTGTATTTCATGTGTTTGATTGCCTCTGCTTATTTTGATTTCGTGTCCCAGATATTTGTAAGTGTCTGTTTGTTGTATGGTATTATTGTCAATAGTTATATTTCCACTCATTGCGAGATTTGTTATAAGTGTAGTTTTCTCAAAGTTTATCTTTAATCCTGCTCCTTCAGACAGACTTTTAAGCGAATGCATCATAGAAACTGTATCTTGTAAATTATCTGCGATTAATACAACATCATCTGAAAATCTTAGGTGATTTAATCTTTCTCCATCTATATTGATGCCCATATCTTGCCATTGAGTGCTCTTAAATATTGACTCTAGAGCTGCCGTGAACAATTTTGGTGAAATATTGTCTCCTTGTCTAACTCCTCGACCTAAGCTGAATTTTTCTGTGTCTTCGTGTAGTCGTATACTTGATGTAGCGTTCTCGTAGATGTTTTTGATTAGTGTCGTGTACCTGTAATCTATTCGGCTTTGATTTAAGGCTTCCAGTATTGTTTCAAACTCTACAGAATCAAAAGCCTTCTCGTAATCGACAAATTCAAGAACCAGTGGTATGTTGTACTCGATGCACTTTTCTATTAAGATCTTTATGGTATGCAAATGGTCATTTGTGCCATATCCTGCCCTGAAGCCTGCCTGTTCTTTGGGCTGATAGAAATCAAGTTTAGGTGTTAGCCTCTGTTAAGATTTTCATAAAGGGAAAAAGATTTTCATGATGGGTCTATAATTTTTTAATTTAGTAATATCGCCTTTTTTGGGTAACAAGACTATTACTGGATTATTCCAGTCTTTTGGAATCGTACGCGCATGTAAGCATTTATTAAACAGTTCGCTTAGTGATTTTACTAAAATTTCTCCACCTACAAATGTTATGTATATCTAGATCGTGTCATCAAACTAGGAAAACCAAATCAAGATGCTGAAATTAAAAGAACACAACTGGCATGGGATGCTTTCGGCAAACTAGCATATATTTTGAAAAACACCTCCACTCCTGTAAACTTAAAAAGGTGTATAACACATGCATATAGTACTACCAGTTTGTACCTACGGCTTGAGGACAGTAGCCCTTACCAAAAAATCTGCTAAAAAATTAGAAACAACGCAAAGAGCAATGGAACGAGTCATGCTTGGAATATCACTGAGAGTTAAGTTTAGAAACACCGAGATAAGAGGTAGAACGAAGATTAGGGATATTGTAGAAGAAATAACAAAAATGAAATGGCGCTGGGCAGCTCACGTAGCTTGTTATAATGACAATAGGTGGACACGAAGAATTCTAGAAAAGAGACCAAGAACGACAACAAGAAGATTGGGAAGACCTCAAAAAAGATGGGTAGATGACATAAGATCAGTGGCAGGCAAACAGTGGATTAGATTGGAGCAAGATAGAGAAAGAAGGAAGCAATTGGGAGAGATCTACATTCAGAAGTAGACGGAAAATGGTTGACAAAGAGAGAGAGCGCACGAGAACACAGAAAGCGGTCAGTCGTTCCGAGTTCTGCGTTATTTTTTCGGAGTTCAGAGTTCACACATGCGGCAATCAATTAACACCGTTTCTTTCCAAATATTGAATCTAACATCATTTTTGCACAATTACTAAAAGATGAAGAACAAGTTTTTATTTATTTCCGTATGGCAATAAATAGCTTCAATGAATTGTACAATTTAAAACGGCATGATATAGAACGACAAAATACAAACTGGATGAAGTCCATGCTTGCAAAAGAGAACTTTCAAGTTTTTTAAGGTTCATCATCAACCACCCTTCATTACCACTCTATGTCCACCACTGCTGGACATAGGCCTTCTTAAACTCTTCCATTCTTTACGATGTGCGTACTTATCTTGACAAGCATTCAAGAGTGGGTATTCTGATTGTTTTATTATTCTGTGACCGAGGTCTGACCGCTGGCGGTGTGTCTGTGTGTTGTGTTATTAGATTAGGAAGTTCTACAAAGAACGCAGAACTACATAAGTACGCCTTACCATTGCGCTGCCCGTTTGCACTGGAAGAAAAGAGACGAAAAACAAAGGTTGGGCTGAGAAGAGATCGGTAAAACTGGACAAACACTAACGAAAACAACTTTATGCAACAGCCCAAAACGCACACATTAAACTAAAAAAATAACAAATAAAGACCAGGCAAATAAATTAACTTCTTGATAAAAGATCACGAGTTATTATCCATAGAAATAGTATTGTTCTGAAGCTATTTTCTTGTGGCATTGTAATTAATTATTATTTATAACTGGGAATAAGCCACATTAAAGATAAAAATACATTTATTGACGTTTCAATTTCCAATTCGGAAATCGTTCTCAAAATACAAATAGTAAATTAAACAAATTTTGTTTTTTGTTACATAGTGAAAAAATTCTTCTGATAATTTAATTTTATCTGACTCATTTATATTGACAATTCAGACATACATTATGCATTTTAAAGTAGACGACTTTAAAATGATATTGCCAATATTGTTGAGTTGCGCTCCTGGACGACTTTACTTATAAGATAGTTCATTCGATTACATGAAATCAACTTTAACTTGAGAATATCCGTCAGAAAAAATCATAGCATGTAATTCGTCTTTAAAAAGACAAACACATGACATTATGAGGTTATTATTATGAGGTTTTTTTCCTGGTTTTTCCCTCATAATTTACTATGGAATCACTAACAGGAGAATTTTACTGTCATCATGTCATGTGTTTGTCTTTTTAAAGACGAATTACATGCTATGATTTTTTCTGACGGATATTCTCAAGTTAAAGTTGATTTCATGTAATCGAATGAACTATCTTATAAGTAAAGTCGTCCCAGGAGCGCAACTCAACAATATTGGCAATATCATTTTAAAGTCGTCTACTTTAAAATGCATAATGTATGTCTGAATTGTCAATATAAATGAGTCAGATAAAATTAAATTATCAGAAGAATTTTTTCACTATGTAACAAAAAACAAAATTTGTTTAATTTACTATTTGTATTTTGAGAACGATTTCCGAATTGGAAATTGAAACGTCAATAAATGTATTTTTATCTTTAATGTGGCTTATTCCCAGTTATAAATAATAATAGAAATAGTAGTCTACAAGGCAAAAAAACACAATTTTTTGTCGGAAAAACATTAGTTACATCACGTAATCATTGCACAATCCTTTATGTTTTAGATGATTATATATTTTAAAAACATTATTTAATTTATATGTTTCTCAGAAAAATTTACGTTTCCTAAATATACAAAAAAAAGTTAATCAATTTCTCGGTACTGCATTTCAGTCATTTGTAATAATTGTAGGTGTTATCTGTTAATATTTATATAAGATACCATTGCAATAAAATATTAATGATAAGATATTATCGGCAAAAATAATTTTGTAAATAAGTTTCGCAATAATATACAAAAGCCAAAAATACCTTTTAAATAAAATGTTTATGCTCTCCTAAGATGTTTAAGAATCTCCTACAATCATTTTTGCAAAAAGTATAGGTCACGTCTATGTCAATCACCTGATTCCGTATTGGATCTGAATTCCATAAATTTTTTATAAAATCTTTTTAACTGATAGAATTCATTATTATTAGTGTAATTATTTATGAAAATTTTCGTTATTTCGTTATTACGTGGAAAATTATGAATAGAATAAGAACGGGGGTCGCTCCAGTAAAATCAAACATGGCAAAATGGGGAAAAATACACCAAGAGGATGTAACCTGTGGCTGTGGAGAAACACAGAATATGGAACATCTTTTTACATGCAGAAACTGTCCTCATCAATGTAGCCTCGAAGATTTGTGGCTCGCCAACAAAGATGGAACCGACGTAGCCCGATAGCGAGATTACGGATCCTAGTGCAACTGTGAATGGACTTATTTTGATGGTTAGTGATTGGCTAAAATCTAAAAGTTTGCGTCGGCGCGTTAAGGGTTGCGGTTGACAGTGACAGTTAATAAATATAAATATTTGTTTTTGATTTCTTATTATTCAAAATAAAAAATCCCATAATCTCTTTTTAGATCTGCTAAATAACTTGTGTTTTAAAATTTAGCAATTGCAAAACGGTAGATCTTATTAAGTTTGAAATTAATGTACCAGAAGCATACAAGGCTGAGGTATGAATGTGTTTTATTAAAACTAATTTTGATCTTATTAAACTGATCTATTTTATTTTAGTTATTAAGATTATTTCCGCATGTCCTTACAAGAGTTATTGAACATGATGACCCAAAAACCAAAATGACCATACATACAACAGAAAAAGGCGTTTAACTGCTAGTGACATTCCAGTCCCTCAGAAGAAAGCTGTCTCACATTCGTTAACATTTTGTGTAGATCACAATATAAGTTTAGGTAAAAATCATTAAATTGTTTATATATTATATGTTGATAAATAAATAAATAGATATTAATTGATATGTTTTATTGTTTATATTTAAAATAAAAATATCAACCCTTATTTTCCAGAGAATAAGAGGAATACATTTATTTTATTATTTTAATGGGAAATAAAGCCACAAGTTAACGAAAAAATGAATTTATTGGCGTTTCAACGTCCACATCGGACGTCGTTTTCAAAATGACAATATTAATTAATAATACGTCAATAAATTTATTTTTGTAGTTAAATTGTGGCATTATTTCCCATTAAAATAATAAATTATATAAATGCCACAAACAAATAGCTTCTCCGAACAATATTAATACACTTATTTACTATATATACTAAAAATAATAGTACAATAGTGTACTTACTCAAAAGATTCTACTATCTGAGATGTTAAAGTATAGGAACTCATAAGAGCTATTTCGCTGAGATTTTTAAAAATATATGTTAAATAAGAACTGGTTACATAAGTGCTGTGGCAATACATTAGTAACTATTAATTAAATATAAGAATTGATTATAACCTCGACAGATTTGTTTAAAAGATTTCAACGCGATTTGTTTTTTTCCAGATTTAGGTATACAGTTTTCCTATTAATAATGCAATAAAAAGTGTAATAGATGGAGATAATCTATTTTTTTTGAACATATTATACAATATTTTGTAGGATTCTTATTTAAAGCTCAAAATTTTGTTTTTCATTAAATGGTATGCATTTATTATTAACGTAATGTTATTTAAAAGTAAATTTTTTATTTCTATTTTTCAATGTCCACTTACAAAAATTATTATTAATGTTTACAAAATGATAACATATTACATTAGTGTCTAAACTACTCAAAAAGAACAAAAAACATCTCTGTAAGTAGTCGTTAATGCGTTTACAAGAACTTATAATAATTTTTTAAATATCCCGCTACTTTCTCAACCAATTACAACTCATCAAAATAAGTATATTCACAGTTGCACTAGGATCCGTAATCTCGCAGCCCGATACTGGGCCGAAATTTTATGAACAATATGTCTGGACACGATAAAGTAAAGTTAGTATTACTTTCCCATAAAATAAAATTAATTAAGTTTTGAATACAAGTTTCTTTTTGAGTTTTTGTATGAATTTCTTTCAGATATTCGAAGTAATTTATCATGCAGCCTATTTTTTTTAATTTCTGCAATTTTTGTTGTTTTTGTCTGGGTTTTATATAATTTTAGAAGGCTACAAAACGTATCCCTACTTTTTTAAGGCAAGTAATGACTTTTTTATGCGATTTTTTTATGTATGCGCTCTTCTGTGTAGCGTATCCACCGCAAAAAACGAAATATTTTATTTTTTTCATTTTATTCCAATTGTTAGCATATTTGATACTAATTTAAACATTTTTTATAGTACACAATACCTTTTGGTGGAATCAATCCTGTTATACTATTTAGTAAAAGCTTGCTTACCTGTTTTCCTCGTAGGGAACAAAGCCACCATCCTTCGATGTTCGCTGTGTTTTGTTCCAGTACAACCAAAGTGTCACCTTTCCGAAATTGGAGCTCGTCTGGGGTATCGGGGACATTATCGTAGAGTGCTCGAGCTAAACAATGCTGTAAATAAAAAACTTGGTGTAAACATCGAAAATTCCATATGTGGTCCCATATATGTAGTACAATCGCTAAAAATTAAATGACATTCTTTGACACAATGAATTGATATCGAATTGCACATCGTAAAATACATCATCATTAAAGTTATTGACAGGTTTTGAAAACAAAATGTAAATTATCAAATTATCAAAAGTTATCCCTCAAAAAAGGCGTTCTGATTAAAAAAATTATTTTGGATACATATGATATAATAATTTGATAATATTCTGATTACTGATGACGGACAAGATAAAAATGAATTACTATTTAATTGGAAATAAGCCACAATTAAAGATAAAAATACGTTTATTGACGTTTCAATTTCCACTTCGGAAATCGTTCTCAAAATACAAACAGTTTACTGTTTTTCCCAACTTGTTTCCAACCCAAAGGTTCGAACGAGACTGTGGCTATATTTATTAATATAATTATAGTATAAAAATAGTATAGTATAGTATATTATAAAAATTATAATATTATGATTCTTCACAATAACCGAAAAAGTGTTTGTGTTCAATGTTATTATAATTATAAGCTCCATTAAGAAAACACTCAATTAAAGACAGGTTAAGGAATAAAGATTCACTATGCAGAAGGGAGTCTCCTATACAAGAAAAAAGAGATAAAAAAAAGGACAGAAGTATTTTATATATACAGAGAAACTTAATTTCCTTATAGTTTCAACACCTAAAATACTATAAAAAAATATAAAAAGCCGCAAAAGTTTAACTTTTATATTGAGACCACCAAGAACTGTCCGTTTTGACTGACTCTATGAATACACATTGTTTTATTCTCGTTAAAAATAGTCAACATTCCTTAGTTATCTGTAAATGATCAAATTTAAACTGTTCAACGTGATTAATTGACAGAAACAGGAAACGTATTTATTTTGAGGTAAAAAATGATTCTAGCTAGCGCCTCCACTATACAACTTTCTTCAATTCTCGAAATCAATCTGGTGAGATCATAAATGTACACCTACGATCATATTTGACCACTTAGTCATTGCGATAAGTACTGAATAGTGAGATTGTTTTTTGTATTCATTCATGTCTTCTTGCGAGTTGTAATACGTGGTCGTGACGGGATTTATTGGAATCAGTTACGTAATTTACGCACTAGAATGATTTTCTTTTTCAAAAGTAATCCATATGGTGGATATTTTATGTATTTATACCATATTATTAAAACTATTTGCACTTTCTGAATCTCCTTATTTGCATTATAAAGAGTGTAGGGCTTTGTAGCCAGTGGTTTCTTCTAAGAGTGTGCATTGCATTTAGGGTAGTAGTTGAAAATTTGGAAAGGATCGGACTTCGGGTTAAAACATTAAGGAAGGAAAGTATCACCAATAAAAAAGTTGGGGAACAAAACGCTCACCAATAAGAACATTCAAGAAGGGATGTATCATCAATAAAAACATAGATGTGAGAAAGAATTGGCTTGTACGAACTGTGAGGATCAGAAATAATAGCTAGTGGGCACAGTTATAGTGAAAATAGTAATAGACAGGAAAAATATTTTGTCACATGCTGGTGCAAAATATTTGTGTACACTTTATTTGTGTATTGTAAATTTTCAAGCAGTGGATTGTTCTTGTAGACCTTTCCAAATGCGATATGTGAAATATTTAGGTTATTCCCTAAGTTTCAGAATATTTGTTTTTCCGTTTCCTCCACATTTTCACAGAATCTGCTTGTTGCTCTGTACACATTGTTCCATTTACAGCTGGCAGTTACCAGCTGAAGTCCGTTTGAAGAGGTTTACTCTCCGGACGCTGGAACTCACATAAGGCATGGGTGTATGTTACCTGAAGTAAAATATAATTTAATATTAAACATCAATTATTCTTAACAACAATATGAACAATCTGTGTTAACCTTATTTATTTTAAAGGGTTTTTACCCTAATATTTTGGTGTCTGTACGTTATGTTAACCTGTAAGTATAACCATTTTGCTTTTTTAACCTTAGTCAAAATTTTCAACCACGTTTGCTTTAAATAAATGGTTTATACTTATTTTAGGCATTTTTAACCTGATAATGGAATTATTATTCCGAAAACGTTCGTGTTAATTTGATGTAGCCCTTTTAACGGTTTTTTAAATATCATCATCATCAATTAGCCTATGTTTGTCCACTGCTGAACGTAGGCCTCCCGTAAAAAAAAGAATTACCTTTAAATAAATATATCTATTTACAAAGATTTAACCTCTTTTCTTGTGATACGTGGTATACAGCCAGCTGCAGGAATTATTTTCCTTGTTGATTTAGTAATTTTATCGTTTCCCGCTGGTTCAGAGTCCATGTCTCGCTTCTATACGTTATTGTGGGACGAATTATTGTCTTATACACTCTTATTTTTGCTGCTATTGAGAGTATTTTTTATTTAAGTACGGTCATTAATGAGTAATATGCCCTGTTTCCTGCAATGATCCTGGCAATTCAAAAAAAAAGGAAAGAATCCATAGCTAGTCGGTAAAAATTATATCGTTTCTACAAGCCACACAGGTACGGTCTATAAACTAAATAACAGTGATGTGATTTAAATTGGTCTTTTAATTACAGTAATATCTATATAATATATAAATATCTGATAAAAAATGGCTGATTTTTAAATTTGTTAAAAAAAAATTTTTACCTATTCTGGACCATTAAAAATTATCTGAAGTGTTTTAAGAAAGTAATTATGTAAAAATATGTCATGGAAATGTTTTCGGACGAACCCGAGTTTTTCGCCTTGTTTAATATAATTTATTTTATTCGTGCTTCGCTTTATATCCAGTGGCTAACCGCAAACCAGACACACTCAAACCACAACGACAATCCCATTAAAAAAATTGATTTGTTTGTGTTTAATGTTAAGCCCTACTTATCTAATTTATATGTAAATCAGCCGATAAGTGCGAGTGCCGCTACCGGCGGCGGTGCGGCTGACGTGCAAATACCTCCAGAAAATTAATGAAACAGCCAGAACCAGCAGGTCGATATTTCGAAGGTAGTGCAGAGATAATGTAATAGCCGGGTATAAAATTAACGCAAAAAGACTGTTTCAAATAGAATCTTTATTTCATTTCTTAAAATTAAGTAGTGTTAAGTTTGTTTACTAGCATTCCTTTCATTAAGAATTTAAGAAGTGATTTAAGCTAAGCAGTTTCGTTTAAAAGAAAATGGGAATCACGACACATGTAAAAAAAAATATTAAACATAACTCAACGTTGTAGATACTAGTTTAGATCAACTTTTTTAAATTTATTTAATGTTGCACCATAATTATCAATTTTTCCTAACTTTCATTTCCTATCGACCTCAATAGCACAGGTAAAGTTCCTAGAAGCTGGCTTAAATCTACAGTTATCACTTTACGAAAAACATCCAACGCATGTGACGATTATACACTTGGGAGCAAAAAAATCGACCTACTCGATAAATTGGATTTTATTCTTAGTAATTTTATGTTGCATTACTTTAAATTAAAACAAATAATGCTACAGAGCTTCCAAAAACTAATAGTTTTACGCAAATTTTCAACGTGTAAAATTTGCCTACTTCTGTATGGCACAGGGAATGTAACAAACATTGTAACTGGCATGTTGTATGCAATGTAGACCTCTATGAGTTTGCCGGTGGTCGTCTCAAAATTACACTTCAAACGTTGACGTGTGTGTACACTTTAAAGTGCAGTAGGTAAGTGAATATTTTATAAATGGATACTTCACCAGTAAAAGTGAGACGACCCTATAAGGCGCTCCCTAACTTTCGCGTAATTGGTTGGTGAAGAACCAAGAAAACTAAAAGGTAAATTGTAGGACTGCCTTTAGACCAGCTATGATGTATGGTACTGAATGTAGGGCAGTAAAAAAGGGGATGATCAGAAATTACATGTTTTCTGAAAATCCATATACTCATACAAAAAGCGGAGAGGTACTTAGTCCCTGGAAGAGAACAGAAAAGTTTAGAGGAAAATACTTAGAGAAGCCGATTCCACATAGAGAAACCTAATGAGAATAATAATGGTAATGAATATTCTAGAAATAAAAATAATAAGAGGAACCTCTAAATCTTAGTAAAAAATTACCTAAACAAAAAATTAAAACAATATCTATATATCTAATAAAAAAAGCATCACTAGCATTTTAATTTCTAATAAAACTGTACTAGTCAGCTTAATCCTAAAATGTGAATATCATCCGCTTTGTACTAATACCACAATATATTGCTAATAAATTGTTTACCGACTTACTGTGCCACAATACCTCAATTGTCATTTTAATAAACCTGAAAACCGCCAATTTTTAAATTGGGACCCACCCACCAACCAATCACGCGAAAGTTAGGGAGCGCCTTATAGTGTCGTCTGTAAAAGTTGCCCATAGTCAAAAGACTGTCACCAGTGGTCTACTTATGACGCAGTCTGTAGGCTTAAGGGCTTACCGTCGACACAGGAGACCGGTAGCTACAGTCGACGAACAGGTTCGGGTCGACGACGTGTAACGACAGAGATGGATGATCGATTCATTTTCAGAGAACTACGAACGCAGTTCAGTGTGTTCGTAGTTCTCTGTCATTGTCCTGACTCCTGAGTGCTTTTCGGAATCGGCACGCGATTTGAGTTGAGCCAGAGAACTGTTGAACTTCAATATTCCTTGAGGAATGTACGAGGTATCACTGTCACTCCGTGGACAGTTGGGAGAAGATTTAAGGCTGTCACTTTGACTCCCAGGAGGGCTAACACAGGGCCCAAATTGGACGCACGTCAGAAACAAGCTACCTTACGGATATTCTCCAAGACCATGTTGTTCCTTACGCCTGCTACATAGGCGACGGCTTCATGTTAATGCATGATAACGGTAGATGTCACACAGCGCAGATCCTACGAAAGATTATCTGGTCAACACCAATATAACAAAATGCAGGGTTTGGGTCTGTAATCCAGCACTAGCGACAGTGGCGGAGCTAAAAACTGCATTAGATGAAGAGTGGGAAGCGATTCCTCATGAATCAGTCAGAAACTTAATAAGGACCTTAAGATATTGCATTGAAAATGTAATACAACTCAGAGGAGGATATATTCAGTATTAATTTTGATTTTTTATGTTAATTTACTTTCATATTCATTATGTAATGACTTTCATTCATAACATGTATCCGCAAATACAATATTAAAATATCTTTGTTATGTTTTTTACTTATTAACTTTATAAATATTGATGTTATTCGATTAAAAATTACTTCTGTTCCCGATATTTTACTTTTAACTTTACATTATATGTGGATATAAACAGCGAAGTGAAGAAATTTAACTTATTTAATTTTTAAATATAAGGTTGAATGTTCGAATAATTAAACTTTGAGGGTATACAAGGCAACTATCGAACACGGTGATTAATTTAATCTTGCCCAAGTACTTTCGATCAATTTAATTTTTAATCGATATTTAATTTTTAGTCGATTTTTAACGATTCGAACCCTGATATTGACGGTATGTAACGCAGTTCATCTAACGCTGTAGCAGTTCTATTTCCCTTAGTATGTATTAAAACACTGAAAAATATTTTCAGTCGTTTTGCGTCGCTAAGATTGATAATATAAATATTTTTATTTTTGTTTATATTAACACAAATTGCATTCCTTTGATCGTGATGCCGCCTAATATTGTGCGTCAAATTGCTCAGTCCCTACTTTCAACCCCCTATAAGTGATACCCAATGTGGTAGGCACAAATATAACCGTTACAACGCTGCTTTAATGCTCTTCATCAAAGCAGCGTTAGATGAACTGAAATCACAGACGAAGTCTGCTGGAAGAATGTATAGATGGAATCTGCCGACCATATAAATAACCAATGATCAATGGAGCTATAAGGGTGATCATTCGAACAGGAAAAGATGGCGGCGAGCTGTTCCATAGAATTACGTTCATATGTGTTTTCGGTGCTGCTGTATGGGGTGGAGGCCTGGACCTTAAAGAAAGAGGTGAGCGATCGACTTAAAGCATTCGAGATGTGGACCTTCAGAAGAATATTAAAAATAAGTTGGGTAGACCGAATAACAAATGTTGAGATCCTCAGAAAGACAAAGGAAATGGAAATCATGAATACGATTAAGATAAGAAAGTTACAATATCTCGGTCACGTTATAAGAGAGGATAAATATGTGTTGCTACAAATCATAATTCAGGGAAAACGAAGTGTTGGAAGAAGACGCATCTCCTGGCTCAACAATCTGAGAAAGTGGTATAATTGTAGTTCGATCGACTTGTTCAGAGCAGCAATCTCAAAAGTGAAAATAGCTGTGATGATTACCAACCTCCTTAGAGGAGACGGTAACCAAAGAAGAAGATTATCGGGAATTTCACGTAACAGTGACACTACTGTATTTCGTAAACGACGCTTAAGCATAAATAAGTTCAGTTATATACATGAGTAATGATCGCTATAAAATATTGCTTCATATAAAATAAAGGAAATAGGGATTATGAAAGATAACCTTTTTGATAAAACAAAAATTTTAAAAATGTAAACTTTGTGTCCATATTGCTAAGATTTCTAACCAAAAGCAAAACAAAGTAAGCATAGAACATTTCGATTGGACGACTCTTTCGATGACTTTTTAACTACTATATTTACAATAAACAAAATAATAAACATGAAATACTGTATAAAGATGAAGCACACTTTTAAGGGTACATAAAGAAAACATGTAGCAGACCAATTTAAGAAGAATTGAGAAAAGGAAATAATAGATGATGAATACACATTAAGGACAGAGCAAAGTTTAGTATTTGAAGTACATGTAAAAATTATATTAAGTTTGAAATTTTGGACCTGATTTATATTCCTAAAATCTAAAACACCATAACTAATAAAAAATGTATAATTGTATGTTTAAATGGCTAACAATTTACTTACGATTTGCATTTTGTGAAAGGAAGACACTAAGGCACCAGTTTCTAAGTAGAAGTAAATTAATCTCGAACCTTTTGTCAAGATCGACTACGAGATTAAGATAAGGCAAATCTTTAATTGTATCGCATAGATAACATTGTAATTTGTCACGTAAACATATACCATTTGTAGTTATTAGTTCGTTTTAAATCCTGTTATCCTTATTTCTTTTAAAATTTTACTATATTTCTATATTTATTATACTACTTTTCCCGCTTTTTTTTTCACATGACCAGCCATCTTTTTTAGAGGTCGATCCATACTTCTCTTATGTGCTCTAAGTATCCATGCGTTTAGGCCACATGGTATCATCTTGTCTAGAACATGTCCTACCAAGACCACTTCAATGCAGCAGCACGTTG